GGGCATCTCCTCCAGCAGCGCCTCCTGGTTCCATGGGTTCTGCGCCTCTCTGAGCCTCCTGATGTAGGGGACATACTTCTCCTTGATGTCACCCACGTTGGGGATGTCCTCGGGGTCATCCAGCTCCAGGGGGCAGAACAGCCCCCTCTCCAGTGCCTGCCTGAGATCATCTGGCCACGCCGACACTTCCAAAGGCTTGAGGGTGTGGTTAAGCATCCATGCCTGGTTGGTGTCCTGGGTGCGCTTGTTCGCCTCCTGAGCCTCCTGGATGGAGCCCATCGCCTCACCAGGTGCTGGTCTCGCGCTTGGCCTTGAATCGCTCCAGGTTGACCTTCCTCAAACCCGGGCTCCCTCATTGGCCACCTCCTCTGACGGCAGGGCCTGCATGCCCTCCTGGAGAGGCGCCAGGATAGCCATTTCATTGTCCAGCATCTCGTCCGTGACCAACTCCTGGCCGAGGACTCCTCCGGGGTCGGTTCCCGGTGCTCCCTCAAGGCCTTATGCAGCTCCTCCTTCTTCCGGATCGCCTGGTCCACCGGTAGAGCTGGAAGCTCTGAGCCTCCGCCTCCTTCAGGGACCGCTGCACTTTGACCTTGACCTGGTGCTCCCGGACCTTCAACGCCTCATCGTCCGCCTCCATGGACAGGATCTCCTGCCGGATGTCCACCCGCCTGTTGAGCGGGACCACGTCTGCCATGGTAATCTCCTCTGCCGTGTCCGTTTTCGGAGGAGCTCTCCCCAGGACCGTGCCGTCCACCAGGTTGCGGTCTGCCTGCCCGGGTACCACCGGGGCCAGCGGCACCCAGGCTTCCCCCTTCCCGCTGCTGGATCCAGGTCGGCTTGCCCTCCACAATGAGCAGGTTGTACTTGACGCCGTCGGGTGCCTGGAAGGGGACGAACTCCTTGCCCGGGCAGACCCAGCATTGCTTGGCTGCCTCCGGCCACCCCGTGCCGCATGCCTTGCACATGAATTTGTAGTCCGAGTGGCCGGCATCGAGTCTGTGCATCCGCTGGGTGCCAATGCACGCCTTGTTCCTCTGGAACTGTGTCCTCCTGCCGGATCTGGATCTTCATCGGAACATAGGCCTCCAGGATGCGAATCACCAAGTCCTCCGTGAGATTCTTCCCGACAAACTTGTGGAACAGGGAGACCGCCTCCTCCACCGTGACGTCCCGCAGCAACGTGGCCGCCGATGCCGGAAGGACCGGGAAGAGGTCTGGGAGGTCCACCAACTTGAAGTAGCCGGGACGGCCCTCCACCGGCACAAGGGAGACCGGTTTGTTCACCTGAGCCGTGGTCTTCTGGGAAGCCGCCACGAAACCCTTCAGCCTCTTCGTTGGTGGAGTAGCCCGCTCCGTGGCGTCCGCATCTTCCATGTCCTTGTCCTCCTCCTCGGCGGGGCCAGGGGCACCCAGGCCGGAAGTCGGTGTGGAGAAAGCCACACGGAGACGCTCCAGTGCACTGGAGAGGTCGTTCATCACGTCGGTAGCCGAAGCCGACGGGGGGGCCTCGGGCTCGTCCAACACCAGGCCGGCCGCCACTGCCGCCTCGCGTGTGCGAATTTCCTGGGCCTCCTGGCTGGCCATTTCCACCTCCTCCGCGGTGAGCTTCTGGTCCTCAATCAGCTCGAAGGAGGTTGCCGAGGTTGCCGAGGAAGCCATTGCTAGATCGGAGTTAGTTCGGGGTATTTTTTTCACACAAATTGGGTTCAAAGAGCCCAGGGCAAAGCTTGAGCCAAAATGGCATGCGCCATTATGGTCAAGCATTGCCAACACAGTTCATGTTTCCACATGCGTTTCAACATTAACAAATTGTCAGGCACACCCATACGGGTCTGTCTTAAAATAGGGGACCCCAGAAGTGGCGTCCAGTTTCCTGTTGGTTGCCCGGATTCTCTGACGTTTTCTTGTATAATCCCGAAGATCCGGCGCAAGCTGGACCCTTACTTTTTCCCGAAAGCATCGCGAAGGGTTCTTCCGTGCGGAGCCCTTGGACAAGTTACACAGAGCCAAGTTGCACAGAGCCAAGTTACATAGAGCCAAGTTACATAGAGCCAAATTACATAGAGCCAAGTTACATAGAGCCAAGTTACATAGAGCCAAGTTACATAGAGCCAAGTTACATAGAGCCAAGTTACATAGAGCCAAGTTACATAAAGCCAAAATACAAAGAGCCAAGTTACATAGAGCCAAGTTACATAGAGCCAAGTTACATAGAGCTAGGTTATATAGAGCCAAGATACACAGAGCCAAGTGGCACAGAGCCAAGTTACACAGAGCCAAGTGGCACAGAGCCAAGTTGCACAAAGCCAAGTGGCACAGAGCCAAGTTGCACAGAGCCAAGTTGCATAGAGCCAAGTGGCACAGAGCCAAGTTGCACAGAGCCAAGTTGCACAGAGCCAAGTGGCACAGAGCCAAGTGGCACAGAGCCAAGTGACACAGAGCCAAGTGGCACAGAGCCAAGTGGCACAGAGACAAGTGGCACAGAGCCAAGTTGCACAGAGCCAAGTTGCATAGAGCCAAGTTGCAAAGAGCCAAGTTGCACAGAGCCAAGTTACACAGAGCTAAGTTACATAGAGCCAAGTTGCACAGAGCCAAGTTGCACAGAGCCAAGTTACATAGAGCCAAGTTGCACAGAGCCAAGTTGCACAGAGCCAAGTGGCACAGAGCCAAGTGGCACAGAGCCAAGTGGCACAGAGCCAAGTGACACAGAGCCAAGTGGCACAGAGCCAAGTGGCACAGAGCCAAGTGGCACAGAGCCAAATAGCACAGAGCCAAGTGGCACAGAGCCAAGTGGCACAGAGCCAAGTGGCACAGAGCCAAGTGGCACAGAGCCAAGTGGCACAGAGCCAAGTGGCACAGAGCCGCGCGCGACCCTCTGCGGAGATTCGCGTGGACGAGGTTCAAAAACTGAGGACTTTTCACGATTTCTGCGGTGCGCAACCCTCTGCAGAGATCGTGCCCGTCGAAGCGCTCTCGCTGTGGCGCCGTGCGAAATTGCCGTAGTCTCGGCGAACCCTCTGCGGAGATTGCGCGTGCCGAAGCGGAAGTTGTCTCGTGGTTTGCGCGCCTGCTTTCGCAATCTCACGGTCGCGGGCTCGATTCCCCCTGGTCCGCGGCAGCTCCGGCTTGGAAATCGCAGCTTCTAAGTACAAACGTAGTACGCGGAGCGTTCTCCCGCAGCTCCGGCTGGAAAATCGCAGCCTTTAAGTACAAGCGTAGCACGCGGAGCGCCTCCGCAGCTCCAGCTGGAAATTTGTAACTTCCCGAAAGCATCGCGAAGGGTTCTTCCGTGCGGAGCCCTTGGACAAGTTACACAGAGCCAAGTTGCACAGAGCCAAGTTACATAGAGCCAAGTTACATAGAGCCAAGTTACATAAAGCCAAGTTACATAGAGCCAAGTTACATAGAGCCAAGTTACATAGAGCCAAGTTACATAGAGCCAAGTTACATAGAGCCAAGTTACATAGAGCTAAGTTACATAGAGCCAAGTTGCATTGAGCCAAGTTACATAGAGCCAAGTTACATAGAGCCAAGTTACATAGAGCCAAGTTACATAGAGCTAAGTTACATAGAGCCAAGTTACACAGACAGAGCCAAGTGGCACACAGCCAAGCGGCACAGAGCCACAGAGCCAAGTGGCACAGAGCCAAGTGGCACAGAGCCAAGTTACATAGAGTCAAGTTACATAGAGCCAAGTTGCACGAGCCTGCTTTGCGGAAGCTGTTGCATCGATGTAAAAGGGCGTCTCCGCGGCTGGAAAAGCACATGATGGGAAACGGGGAAAAATGCTTTCGGGCAAATCGTCCTCTAGTTTCATGGCCCACGTCTGTACAACAAAAACATCTGGCTTGCTAGTCTCCAGTGGCATGACCCAATGGAAAAAGGCCACTGCGCGCGCGGCACAAAGGGGGCTCCAACTCTTCTCGCCAGCCCACACGCAGATGCCGTTTGGCACCTTCAGCCCCGTACTGCTTCAACGCAGGCGCCAAACGCAGCCCCGCAGCAACTCTCAGAGGGCACGCTCTAGAAGAGTGAGCTTGGTTGGCGTCAGCGTGCGCATCTGCTGTCCAATCCTGCTCGGCTCTGCTGCTGTGTCGAGTGCGCATTGCCAACCTGTCCAGCCTGTCATCCTGCACATCCAACATGTACCGTCTCTCATCCGCTTTCTTCCTTCTTTTTCAAGGCTGTCAGGTTTTCCACCCAGCGCGCCAAAGGCAGAGCAGAGGAAGACTCACCGGGAATCGCTATCAGCATCACCGCTTTCACAAAGAAAAGGCAGTGAGGCACGCCATATCTTGCAGCCAGAAAGAAATATGCACCCCGTCCAAGTGCTGTTCTTGCGCTCGGGTTTTGGGGCTCGCTGGGCACTAGCATGGCTGTACCCATGGCTGAGCTCAGCCCGTAGAGGCTTGTCCCATGCCACTCCATGTGCCAGCTTCCCTCCCACTGCGGCATGCTTTGGTGGGCGTGCTGCTCAGGTGCCGTTGGCGGGGCGTACTGAAGGGAAAGTACTTCCATTCAAGCTGGCCACACATAGATCCTTTGACGGCATGCTTTGATGCCAAGGCAGCGCCACATCCCCCCCCCCTCCGCAGATCTGCTAAGCACAGCTGACACTCCACGGAGTACCCATGACCCCGGGCTTTGAGCCAGGCTTCTACCTCTGCCCAGGCCTCCGCGCGCTGCGAACTAGTGGCAAATCTAGCTTGCACTTGCTCACAGTACCTCGTGACATCAGCGCCCAATAGGTCCGCCTTGCAGGAGTCGGGAAGACTTTTCATCCAGACTTGCCAGCCGCGGTCTTCCAAGCAAATCTGACTCTGGCGGGAGGCAGCCGCGCACATCCACCCAGCGCAGAAAGAACTGCCTCACACAGCACAATGTTGACATGGGCTATAACGCTGATGCTGGTGAAAATACCGTGATGCACGAGGCACTGACCTCTTGGAAGCAACTCTCCGAGCAAAAACATGTGCGCAAGTTTGTTGGAGCCAAAGTCACACGGCGGGAACCAAGAAGGTATCAAACTGTGCTCGCCTGACAGCCCATCACCAACTGAACATAAGGCAGCTGTTGCCTCTTTAGTTCCTTTCTGCCGAAAGATCCAGCTCCTAGGAAATCCACAGCCCCGTTGCCCTGAATCCCAAAGACAAAGGGGCCGGCGGCACACGCCCACGGCGTTTAAATACAAACACAAGGGACATGGATCGAAGGGTTGCCTATAGTGGCGAAACGCCATTGAACCAACCGAGCTACAGAAAAGTTGCGACAACCCGATTTGTGTCCACCACAATTATGCCCACCCCCCCCCCCCCCAACGTCCCCCCCCCCCCCTTCCCCCCCCCCTTCCCCCCCCCCACTGTTTTTTTTCCCGTACCTTGTGGGGAGCCAAAACCCGACCCAAGGCGACCCCGAAGGGCCGTCGCCTTCCTCCCTGCGCGGCTCCCGCCGCTTCAGCGGCGAAAGGTTCCGCTTGCGCTTCAGCGGGGACGGGCGCCGGGGCCTCGGTGGGGTAAATGGGTGTGTCGTTTAGAAACAAACCTGCAACATGTGTGGGTTGGCCGGTGTCGGCTTAATACAGGTCAAATTAAACTATTTTCTCGGTTGCTTTCTGCTCCCCTGCTAAAAGTGTAACTTTTGGTGGTTTGATGGAAACCCCCCGAGTTGGCAAACAGTTGAAGTGCCAACATCCAAGCACACTGCACCAAAGTTTTGTAACAAACCTGCACCATGTGTGGGTTGGCCCATTTCAGTGTAAAACGGGTCAAAATGGGTACCCTCCCAAACAAGAGACACCCATATAAACCTGAATGATCCAAACACGAGCAGCTTTACAAGGATTCACTCCTCTAAATAAATTTTAAAAAAATGCATTCTTTAAGCAATCCCGACTATTTAGGCTTTCTGCGAGACCCAAGTGATTCGCATCCCCATGACTACTTTGCCACTCGGGGAAAATTTATGCGGCGTAGAAAGTCGCTCAAAATGGGTTCTGGCTGGGGGAATCTCCTTGGGCACCTTGCCATGGACCTTGGCAGAGGAAACCGCTTTCATGTTTGCCACCAACGTATAGAAAAAAAAACACTCTGCGAATGCACCCTCAAAGGCATCCACGTATGAGGCCCGTTGATCCTGCTTCTCTTTAAGCTTGCTTGAGTTTAAGCGGGTTCCCAGAAAATGAAGTGCTGCACCAGTGCTCATGCTGAACTTTTAAAGGGAAGCCATCAACCATGGTTGGTGGACACAATTGTCCACCACAAGGGACTTCCAGCTAAACAACTCATACCCAGGGTTTGGCTCGAAATGGGGGACCCCCACCATGCTTGGTGTCCTCTTACCATTGAATTCAAAAAACCATCAACACCTGCGTTCCTGAAACATTTCTATACCAAAATACAGGACAAACACATCTGACGCCCAAAGAAAACCCAGAGGAATGCAGTCAGAACCAATAGCCCCTGGTAATCTATCTTTATGATCTATGGCGTGTGACTTGCTGGGACAGTACAAACCTGCCACCGTGATCGGAAAACCAACATATTGCTCCTGGCTCGTCTTTCTTACCGGCACCCCCCCAAACCAAAAAACATATATATATATATACACATATATATATATATATGTATATAGTGGACTCCCTCTTGGCTTCCCTCTTGTTTCCCTCTTGGTTTCCGGTTTCCCTCTTGGTTTCCCAGTAAAACCAGAAAGGTACCCTCAACAAAAAGACACACTCATATTGCTCCAAACCGGTCAGCGTCCGAAGTCGCTTTAAGAAAACAACACGTTGGTTTTTTATGTCTATTCTCGTTCGCTGGCTGGTGCATGGAAACCTACCTTGGTTCCTTGTGTTTTGTGCAGAGTGACACCTACAATACGTCCTCCATCCGGACCTCAAACGAATGCACCTCCCGCCTTTGCTCGTTCCCTCCTTTTGTGATAAATTTGATAACCCTAAGGGTCCTGATGGAATTGGGGGCCTCAAAATATGTCCTTTTGACACCCCGCTTCAGCAACTTGCGGCTTACGCGGACGCATAAGCCCCAGGACCCGGGAAGAACCAAACTCCTCGACCCAGAAGCCGGCCAACGGCTTTAACCCCTCTCCTTTACCTCAGTTGTTCAGTGACCCTGGAAAAAAAAAGGGAACCCTTTTTGGGAAGACCAAACTTTTACTTGGGCAGCCACCCAAGAAAAAAGTTGGAAAAAGAGGAAATAATGGGTGCCACCGAACAACTGAGCCTAAGGAACGAAAGGGGCTCTCAACTACCCGCTTAGTGAGTGGGCAATAATGGTTTATCAAGGGTATGCGAAAGGGGCGATCGGGTATCAGGAAACCCTCGATTGGGGGGTTGAACCCGGAACAAGTTGTTCCGGGTTCAACCCCCCAATCGAGGGTTTCCTGATACCCGATCGGACAAGGGGCTCAAGGTACTTTGGTTGAAATCCCCAACTTAAAGGAGCGATCGGGTATCGGGTAACCCTCAATTGGTGGTTTGGATTTGGATTGTAAGGGGGTTCCCCAAAGACTGAGGCCACTTAGATGGGAAGCCCCCACTTAAGGCGATCGGGTACTAAGAGCTACACAAAAAAAATCGCACCAGAGCGGCGAATCCAGGGGATCCTTCTCGTTCGCCATCGCCTGCTCCTCCGTTCGGGGCCACGGTTTGCTCAAATGGGTGTGGGTCACAATGAAAACACCGGGAAATGGACAGCAGGTTTTAGTCCATACTTTCCATTCTCCAGACTTCCATTTTGGGCTTACCCCATTTTTGACCCACCAAATCGCTCCCTAGAAAGGGCTGCAGAAAATGCCGGGTTGCCCAATCCCCGAGCTTTCAGGGTAGCCAGATTTGCTTACCTGCAGGTCTTATGGATTTCCCCCCGGTGACCTACTATAGTGGCGAAATGCCTGGACGCCAGGGGGTTTGGTTTTTTGTCAAACCAAACCGAAGGCTTGGTTTCGGCTCAACCAAAGCCATGGGCTCGGAGTTCAGGAGTTCTCTCTTTTTGAGGGAGTTCTTGGGGTTAGAACCAAGCGGGAAACACAAATCATCTGAGCGGTGCAGACATGACCCTTAAAACATGGTTGGGCGTTACCTAAAAAAGGCCACCTGAGCCTACCTGGAGTCTTCTTCTGACCCTCAAGAAAATGGTTGGTCATTACCCAAATTAAAGATTCGGGTCATGACCAACCATGTCTCTACGACCCAAGATTCGGGTCATGGGTCAGCATCGAACAAGTTTTCTGCTACTTTGCAGCGAAATCAAAATCACCATATCCCAATCCCAACAACAAAAAAACACAAATAATAGATAATACACATGCGTAATACCAAGAACAGAAGCCACAGTTGTTTGAAGTGGTTCCATCACGCTGGACCTTCAAACTAAGGTCCACTAAGGTCCTCTGGTCTCGCGTAAGAATTCGCTGAGCGCAGACCAAACACATCGGGCATGTGTCTGGTAGGGTCATTGCAAGATGTCCATCCTTCAGGCAGCACCCAAGAGTGCGCCACGTGAGCGTCCGCGAAAGATCAGGACAAATGCCGTTGCAGAATTACATATCCAGACAGTATATGCTTCAACAAAAAGGATACATTGATGAACATGAAGATCCGGGTTGCCCGCCCAGGATTGCTAGCGGACCCTTCACTAAACCAGTAAAGCTGGCACACATTCCTTCCGAATGTTCCTCCAAATCGCGCAGAGTAGGGATTCCTGGACAATGGACTCTTTTTGAGCATCCATGTCGAATTCGCAACATGCGATTCCACTGCCATTGAATTTGTGAAGATCACCACCCTCTTTTCAAAACGCTTCAAGGCGACTCCGAAACGCTCTCAGCTAATTGCTGGAAGCAGGGTATGTGGGTGTGCTTTTTTAAGCGAACCCCAGGAAAGCCAAAAGGACAGCTACCATTTGGGGGGTCCTCTAAAAAAACACCCCCATGTTGTTCACAAACTGGAAAGAGCCAAGGGGCCGGGTATCGTACTTCCGTTTACCCATCCGCGGCCAGCTTGAAGTAGGAATGTGCACATGGGACAAACATTGAGCAGTGCGCATAATTAATAATTTGCAATTTGAGCAAACCGTGAGTGGTTCTACAAGCTAATTTCACAGGGGGCCTATAGCAAGCACCTGAATACAACCTTGCAAGGGCTCCCCATACGTCCCTTTAAAAGGTTCCCCCATCAAGAGCAACTCACCTTGGGCCAAAGGCGCACTACGAGGACCGCGTCAACGACACGACCCCCAAAACCCGCAGCATTTGAAAACCCCCCGTCCTGCGCCATCATAAGGTGCTGCCATTCCACGGTGTTTATCGCCTGAGTGCACCGGGCTCCACGCAACAAACAACATCGGTGTTGGTTTCGGACAACAAACGGGAGCACACCAGAACAAACCACGTATGCCATTCACACAAAACAACATCCAAATGAGTAGTATATTACCTACAGTCGGATTGGTTAGACCACAGAGCTAAACATGCACCAACACGGTACAGTACATGTCTGGCTGGCAACCAACTAGTCCCTTCTCAGATTCACCAGAATCATGCAATGTGACGCGCCTCCCAACATACCAGGGCCGGTCATCGTAACCAAACAACACAGGACACCGGGCCCATGTTTGTGGGATTTCCTCTTTTTCAGACAAACCCAGCGGCGTTGTGGCTCAGTCTTCTCAACAGAACTAGCTTGTTGTATGCGAAGCACACGGGCAGAATCCTGGCCTGGTCCCACTGCCCTGGTCCCACCTTTTCCCTCCTTGGCCTTCCCAGGAGTGATGCCAACAAGTGGGAGGGGGGAAGAACATTCAGGTGGTTTTCGTGCTTGAGGGTTGGAGGTTTGAGAATGTTTACAATATGTGTTCTCCAGACAATCGTGGAGTGCCCCCCCTTCTTTGTGCTATTTGGCCACCATGGACCCTTGCTTGAAGGGACCAAAGAGGGACCATGCATTTGTAGGCGACCACTATCTTGAATGCAGATTCGGCCGATTCGCAAAAAGATGAATGGCCTTGGCAAGGTGAAATCTACAACCAGCCGTTTGGACCAATAGATTGGGTTTCCCTCATAAATGGGGCCCCAAGACCCATATCTAACCAAGCGGAACCCATCTGTTTCAAAAACCAAAAGACGATCAAAAGGGACAACCCCCCTTTTCAGCCACAGGAACCGAGGAATCAAAAAACAAAAGCAAATCCCGAATCAAACACACAAAATCCCAAGGATTTTCCCCCACCTCCCCGAAAACGGGGAGGGGGGGGGGGGGAAAACAAACAAAAGACGCGACGTCGACCGGGGGGGGCGCGCGGCTCGAAAAATCGGTGGACGCGTTTGGTCCCCGGACGTCCTGGGCGGCGCCCTTGAGATCGCACGCGCCGCGGGCGGACTCCCGGAGGTCGCGCACGTCCCGATGCGCCGGCCTGGCGTATAGCGAGGGCGGAAAAACGGGGCGGAGCGGAGTCGCCGGGGGTCCACCTGGAGTCGGTGGTCCAGACTTGAGAGGTGAGAAGAAGGGTAATTACCAACTTTTTTGGGTAGTCGATTTTAGTAGTTTGGAACCCTCCCAACCAAAAAGGGTGAGAGAAGGGCACCTAGCTGCGGGGGCCTAGTGGAGTCTCCTTCCTGGAGTCTCCTGCTGCCCCAAATCAAAAAAAAGGTTGGTCATTACCCCCAAGAAAAGGGGTGCATGACCCAATTTTAGAAGGGTCCGAAGGAGACTCCAGGTAGACGTCCATCTCTTTGGCGCCCTGGACAAAATGAGACAATATGTCCAGTAGTGATAGATTCCCTGTAAAACCAACAAGGGAAAATATACAGTATGCTTAAACAAATGGAAGTGGATTCATAAACCCTTTGATGAATAGGGTCCCGTTTTAGTGGGAATTCAGGCCACTTTTGGAGGAAGCACCCCCTCATGGGACAGGTTTATCGATCCGGAGTCAACATTCCCCAGACGTTCAGAGGGGAAAATGGCCAACCACGAGCGGTGCGGACGGAAGCCGGAAGCCCGTACGTCGGCTTGCTTGCCGAAACTGTCAAACATGAATGGTCAAATGGGAACAATGGGAAAGAACAACAGCCCTGAAGATCCCGATGGATTTTAGGGACTCAAAATGGGTTGTTTTTGAGGGCCCATGAGGGCCCGGGGTTCTCCATTGGAGGGTCCAGTGGTCTGCATTGGAGGGGTCATCGGAGGGAGAGATCTTGGAAAATTGGAAAAAGATGAGCTGAGTCACAGGTACATAAGTCTACAAAATTCGGCCACATCGATTTATGCATGGTTGGAAGTGTGCCTTATCCATCTTCCCACATTTTGATTGTGGCTTTGGTGAAGGGCGTGCCGTTTTTCGAGGATCCCCCCTATGTTGCCTGTCTTGAAGAGAAACCAAAAGTAAAACCACAATTTAGGGCGTCTCCTTTAAAAGTCACCCCGAAGTCTTGAAGGCTTTGATTGCCCGGTCTCTTCCTGGCCAGAAGCTGCACATCTCTAGGGCCAAACTCGGATCCGATTCATGGCTTGAAGCCGCTTTGCACCTTCCCCAAGCGAAGTCAGAACCAACACCTTTGTTCAGCCTACTCAAATCCTCTGCTCAGAATATGCTGAACGACACGGTGCACCTCGCATGGCCCTAAACTGGCGGTTTCGGCAGGGGGCGACCTTCTCCTCGCTCCTCTGTGGAATTTAGCTTCAACTGGGCTTCGAATCTAGCCTTTCAAACCACTTCGGCCCACACCTTACAGACGCATACCCTCCAAAAGGTGGACATGCTCAGCTGGACTGATGGGTTCGGTTCCCTGTGGATGGGTCACAAGAAAAGACTGGGCCACTAAACTGCTTCCCAAGAAAGCGTGGGAAATTTGTTGGTTTATTTGGTGCCTGTCTTTCATCTTTCATCTAATCATTTATATTGGATTGTTCCACTGATTCATATCAGTGTTTCCTTTACAATTATTGATTTGATCTTCATTGATTTAAGAGTCACAGAATTCACGGACATGTTATTTAATTCATGAGTCTCTTGCATCCATCATATAGACAAGGAGAAAGTTGAAAACATGGCACTACCGTGCAACACCTTGGGATGTGTGGAACGGTCGGAAGGGTTGGTACACAAGACCCCGAGAACTCGGATAAAGAAGTCAAGGCTGTACCAGCCTGGCGTTCATTGATCTTCTTTGGTATCTGCTTATTGACTTATTGACATGTCTCTCACTGTGTTTATCTCTTACTGTCCAATCTTCTTACTTCATTTATTGTTTACATATTATCATCTTGATGTCAAAATTCAGGAACTTGGAAAGTGAACACTTTCTCAATTCCAATGGATCATAGCAATGTGGAACGGACCCCTCAAGATCGGGCTTCGCCTCAAAAACAAAAACGAGCCACCCGAAACGCACGCGCCGAGCCTGGGGAGAGCCTGAGCGACTCGACTGAGACGGCTTTTGTGGGGAAACCACGGTGGACACCAACGGGGCCAAGGGTTTGCCGCGAGAAAGTGGGGCTTCAATGGGAGTGGGTTGCAAAAAAAATGGGCAGGGGGGGGCGGGGGGGCCAGGGAAATCAAGAAGGATTCCATTTGCCCAAAAAGAAACAGGTGGTTTTCAGGATACCCGGAGCAAGCCGCCCATAGGGGTTGCCGTGTGAAGGAAACACCCACATCGTGGTCACGTTTGACTTTGGCCTTGGTTGAGGCAATGACCCTATAAACCATCCCTAAGGGCCTACCTATCGCACCGACAAGGTTAGGAGAAAATAAGTACATGCCGCCATGAGAAGCCACGCTTCCGAGACGTGGCCTTTCGAGGAAGCGATAGGCAACGGAAAGGAATTGGGTACGCATCAAACTAGGGATTTGGACTCTACAAGTTGTGGTTTTCTTTTGGCTTCCCTATAAACCAACCCCGGAAAGGGTATTTTCAAAGAAAAGCAAACACACACACACACACCTATCAGCAGCTAGTTATCCAATGCAAATGTGGGCATCAATAATTACAGATACACACATTTGGAGATGTTTGTCCACCGACCATGTTTGGGCGCGTTCGCCCTCAAGACATCTAGGCACTTCGGTTCACCATACATCGTGCAGCTTTGGCATTGTTGCTCAAGGAGGTTGTTCCATCGGCTGAACACGTTTCAGGGCTTCCGAGCCATTTCCCTTTAAAAGAAACCTCCAAAAGAGGCGATTGTTTCAACCAGTAAATTGGTCAATTTCTGAAGGGGAACCTTCGTTGAGCTACGCTTGATGTTCATTGCGCTTTTTAAACGTGGAAAGCTGGTGCCTGTCACTGTCCCCCCCCGCCCGCCCCGCTTTCCTCACAGCCACGGAAATAAACACGACTTTCCCCGAAAAGGGGCATGGGACATTGAGAGAGTGTCATCTTTGTGGCATGTGAGTTCGCCCATGTGGGTGTCTCTCTTTCAAGGTACCCCCGAAAAATGAGAGAGAGAGAGAGAGAGCGGCTCGGACGCGGTGAGCGTGCGCTTTTTTTTTTTTTAGTGGAAACTCAAGTTGAACTATTTTTATTTAAGTCTTGCCTGAATTGTAAAGAAGCGCGATTGGACAGAACATGATGTGTAAGTTATCATTTTAAATAGAATCGTTATAATTGAAATTCGATTATAGCAATCAAGTGGTGTTTGGATTCATTCCTTATCAAATTATACTTCAAGTCTAAATTAATTGTAATGTTCTAGTGGGAAAGGATTCCCCTCTAAATTCTAAATGTAAGATGTAATGTCCAGTAAAATTGTAATCAAGTGTTTCCTTATTGAATACCATGGAAATCCCATTCATATTAAAACTGAATTTTAGAGATCAGCCATTGGTCGAGAAGTGGATCGAGTACGAACAACGCTACAAAACACTGTTTTGCTGTGTTTTTTGACCATGGCAGTGCTAGGGCTAGTAAATAGCAAGCAAACACGATAACAAACACGACTTCGGGACCTCTGAACTCTTTCCTTCTAACATCTTTATCAAATTCTACTCAATATCTAACTGAAATGAACAATAAATAGTTGAGGGAAGACTCCAATCAAATTGTCTACGTCAACTTAGATTTGTAAATTATGATTGTTCTATTTCAAAATAAATGCTACACGGGAGTGCCTTTCCAAAACAATTTTCTTACCCTTACAACTCAGTAAGCATCTAAACAACATGCATTAAGCATTCTCGGTACCTCTGGTTTCTTTCCTGGTGAATTCTACTTGATACATTTATCAAGTTCTACTTAATAGTTGTTTTTTGGTTTTCTCGAGGTTGGTTCACACTTGTCTACAAGAATGCAACAAAAACTATGTGGTTCCTGAAGGGGTCAATTATATTGAACTGCTCTGAAAAATGGTGGGTTTTCCTTTGGTTTCCCTCTGAACCAACCAAGAAGGGGTACATTCCAAAGAAAAGAAGAAGACCCATGTCCCTCTCGAATGAGCCACAGACTACTCGTAATGAACCAATTCTCATCTGCTCAACCCCTCGTGTGCCAGCGCAACAAGTCTCTGTGCGTTGATTCCAGGAGAGCGAACATGTCATATGAACACGACGAGCCACGCGCAAAGAACAAGATACCAATCAGGTTACCAATCACCAAACAAATCGTACAACAAAGAACATACTCTTAGAACCAACAACGCAACACTACCCAAACGTTCAGCAACACACCACGAGCGCAAATATGCACATAATCAATAATATGCTGTTTTTGTTCTAAAAAAAAAACGACCGAGAGGCTCCATGCTGATGCTTCGGGCAGAATACGCACGCCAAGTCGACCACTGCCCCTCCCGCCTTGGCGGTGGCGCCGGGAGGCGGTTGCTTTTGTCCTGGCCACAAAGAGTTTTGTTTCGGACAGAATCGGAGTCTGCGAGTCTAAAATGGGTAGTAAATTCACCTACCCCAACATAGGATCCCATTGGTTTTGACCCAAATCCATATAAAGGTCGTGCCAAAGAGCAATAATGTTGTCCCAGGAGCAACAAACCCCTCCCACTATTAGGGGGGTGAAAACCCCTCCAAAAGAGGTCTGAATCCCCACTTCAACACCCCCCAATCAAAATCAACCTCAGGGGTTCATTAATCCGGGGTTAACATTACTTCTGACCCTTCAAAAATGGGGTCATGACCCGAATCTTTTTTTCGGGTACTGACCCCATTCTTAAGGGTCAGAAAGGAGACTCCAGGTACTTGGAGTCTCCTTCTGACCCGAATCAACCACTTGCTCCTTTGCTGTTGCGACATTCTCTTCTCGCACCACCGTTCAGAAACCATGGATTTTCTGATGACTCCCCTGTACATACCAACCATCGTTAGGGATTCAAGCATGGCTTCGTTACCCGATTTTGCGACCATCCACTGAACTTTGAGACACCCCCCCCCGGAAAACCGTCAAGCCAGGTGGAAGCAGTGGTCTTTTTGTCACCTTTTGCGAGAAAATGGGCGTCCCCCTCAAAAGGAATCCTTCACGGGGTGGCAAAAAGACCCCCTTGGGTGGAAACTGCTTGTCTGGAATCGCTGGCCGCCTCGGTCTGCTCGTACCCAAGTCGACCTACCGCGCACTTCAGACTTCGCTTCTGAAAACCAGCGGCCCTAACTGAAATTCAGGACATTGGAGCTATGGAGGCCCATGCAGCTCAAATATAAGCTTGCGAGTCAGTATGTATCCCGTAAACGTGGTATATAACTTCCCTACCTCCAAAACCCATGCCCGAAAATGCCAACTTGATCAAATAGGTTCGCTAAGGAACATCAGCTTCCGCCCCTCGGGTTGCATGTGGACAGACCCCCCTGTCCACATGTCTGTGGACCCCGCTGAAACTCGAACTTTTGGGATGGTGAAACCACGAAACCCAAACCTAAAAAGGATGGCTGGCAACCACCAAGAACACCAACCACCTAGCTCACAGAAGCCCATGGTGCATGCCACAAGGAATCTGCCGGGGAACCACTTTGAGGCTTCTTGGCGTTCCTGTTTCCTCACAACACCCGCAATGCTTCGAGCCAATGGGGGGGGGGGGGGAAAGAAAATGTTTTCGACAGGTGGAGCAGGGATCCGGATCATTCTACACCTGAACATTGCCTTGTAAATGGTGGGTTCCCTTTATTTTGGTGGAAAAAGCAACATGTGTCAAATGGTTACAAAATGAATTTCTTTTAAGGAGCCCTGTGGAGTGAGGACAAAATGGGCACGGGGATAGATTGTATTCGTGCTCCAAAAGGCTCCTCCCGGCAAGCTTGC